GTTAGGAAACAAAACTTCCAGAACATGGCCACACAGCCCGGAAGACCCACACCAGCCAAAAATAACCATAACTGTGGAATCCATGATAACAATGAAAGGTACACTTCCTTAGAACTGTACTAAAGAGTAAAGAATATTATGACACCACCTCAGAGTGAAATGCAATGTATTATATCCAGAGAATTGTGGCATTAGCAGCCTCGAATACAGCAAGCACCTCAGTGCCCCTCTTTAAAATAACCCAAGAAAGATCTTCCATTAAAATGCAGAAGTAGAGTACTTTCTACAAAAAAGATGAAAATAAAATCCCACAATTCCATTTCCAGGTCAGCATTACATGTTCACCAGTTTTTCTCTAGGCCTCCATCTTAACATATCAATTCTTGCTTTTCCAAGATACCTTTATAAAATTATATATGGTTTATAAAATTGTTGCATGAAGAGTTTTCTGATTTTCCAGCCTCAGAATGTATCAAGCTTTTCCAAAAGCTGTACATTCAGACCCTTTTGTTCTGCTTCTCTTTTCTTTAATCTTGCCATCTTTCTATTCTGAGAACAGGGACGTGGCTACCACTACAGTAATATCTGACTTCTCAGTTCCTAGCATACAATGCATGATACACACAATAGCCTAAATATATAACAGTTGCAGCAAGAGATTATATCCTCCAGTCTGACAATGCCTACTATTTATTTTGTCAACTAACAGAATAGATTGGGGGGGGGGGGTTAGTTAATGCTATAAAGGTTTAACAAGTTTTCTTTTTTAGAGGACAAGCTTATACTGCTCATAAGCAGACCATCCATTCAGTGTCTGCTGAACAACCAATATACAGTTAGAGCTGAAGACAGAAATAGAAACGGAGAACCAACCAACAGCTGTGTGGCTGGAGGATGAGCTGAATCCCAAGCTTTCCAGTTCAAACAGGATGCGTCTATGACAATGAGCTAATGGCTCATTCGGCCTTCAGGCTGGACTCTCTCTCGTTCTTCAGATGGGATAGGTGTTTGTTTGCTTAAAGCTTTTGATATATTCCATGTTTGCTTATTTCTTCATTCATGAAACCACTTCCTACTTTTAAGAGACTGAATTCAAAACAGTTATGGCGAAGTACATATGAGTATGAGCATGTAAGAGGAAGACTCTTTATGAAACAACATGTGCAAGTAGTATTACTTTATAGAACAATTAGCCATTGTCGTCATTATCAGCATCGGCATCATTATTGCAGAGCCTGATACTGGAGATGAAAGATACATTTGAACTGAATATAGTGAAGGTGTTTAATGTTAGTCTCACTTCTTCCATAATAATCCCTAGCTCTGCCCAATCTCCTTTTTTAGATGAAAAGCTTTTTCCCCTCTCACTTCCCTCTGTTCCCAGCCTAGCTTCTATATCCCTTTTTGCAAGGAAGCAAAACAAACACATAACTTACATTTATTTACTTAACATTAATTTTGAGAAACATTAACCAAGGC